AAAAGAATGTGCATACGACGTCAATCACATTGCAGTTAAATAGTATCCTTGACAAGTGAAAAATGGAGAGCTGGATAAGCCAACGTAATCTCAACTAAATTTGCAGCAAGAAGATAAACACTGGAAATTACTTCCTTGCAAGAGAGAAATTATGGAGAATGAAATATTTAAATTACCACTACAGGATCTGAATTTCTTGATTTTGGAAGGACAACCCAAGAGGGTATTGTAACACAATAACTCCATCCGGTTCGAGGGTCGTGAGGCCAAACAGTATCTCTACCATTCTGCACAAAAGAAGATAAGAATCTTAATGGCTTGAACCCTGCAACTGTACATGTATGGAATGCAAATCAGCAGAATGATACTTCTCAGTCAGCAACTATCCAAAGAGCATAAACAAAGATTCAGCTACACAGTTGAGATTACAGGAGGTGGGCAAGCAACATAGGAAAGGGAATAGCTAATGGTGAGTTCTACCATTGGAATTGGTGGTAGTACACTTGGGACTCGTAGCACTCTCAAGTCACAAAAAAGAATACAGCAAGACCAATGAAGAGCATATACATCATTAACTCCCAAAGAACCATATTAAAGTTCGAATTTTCCAGCAACGTAAGAACTCACCCATTTGCGCGGCGGAGGACTCCAATCCATCCCCAGAGGAAGCGGCGACGTTCCGTCATGCCTATGCTTCGGCGGACTCCGTCTCTGCATCATCGCCACCAAACTCTCTACCTAATCTATCTCCAGCTTTCCGAAGCCGAATCTGATATTCCGATCAAAACCCAATCGGAGACGCGATCGAGAAACCACAAATTACGCAACTCCAAACAGGAATCTGAATCGAAGAATAAGCAAGCAGCTTAGGGTTTATGCCGATCTTCAGATCAAGAGAGCGAGGAAGGAGCACAGATGGCGTCTCTCAGGGTCGTCTCTTCTTCTGGTTGAATTCTACGGACCACGGCGATAAACGGCGGTGTCGTCTACTTTAACGGAAAAGCCGAGACGATAACAAGTGATTGACGGAGGAATCGAAGCCTACCGTTACCGTGTAAATATGTATATGTGGACACATTTTGGTTTGGGCCGTGACTCGTGAACCACGTTTTGGTTTCGGTTTATTTGAGCTCTCTACTGTTCATTTTGTAAGGCTGTGTGTTTGGTTGGC